TGGTAATCAAGAATATATGTAGATATATATTATATTACGTTATACCCCTTTTGACTCTTGTCATGGTTACAGGGTATATATCTATATTTATTTACGCATATTAGAAACCATACGCAAGCCCGACAAAGTTCTGCACTTCGTCAATGTCAATATGGACAGGAACCGAGCCATTGACCAGTTTGTTAAATTAATCAGTAAATCGTTAAATAAATTGACTTAAAATACCGCCGGCAGCTAAGTAACTCAACAGCGCCAAGGTCTCGAGTCTGTCTCAACGATTTCGACTAGATTTTATAAAAATTTGCCTGTTCCCAGCGTGCTTATCAAATCATGCGAGCAAGTTCGTTGCCTAAGTCTTCTGTTTTCAGTATCTGTAGCATATCTGTATATTATCTCTTTCTTCTTTTCCGAGCATATGTTAACAAGAAACGCAGTCACCAGCGACGAACTTCGACTTTGGTAGACTCCCGAGAAAAGCAGTTAAGCATCTCCAAAGATGTTCTTCTTTTTTTTTGTTTTTGTTTTTCGTCTTTTTTTCAGGTGTAAAAAGAAAGAAGGTTTTTCATAAATTCGAATCCAAATGCGGATCGTAAATTTCTTTTGAGCCTGCTGCACATCGCTGCCCTTCCACATAATTTCGGTAGCGCCCAAAGGGACGCGCACTTAAAAAGAAAAAAAAAAAGAAACCAAATGGGGGAGAGAACAACTGGGAAAGGGCATCTATCTAGGTGTGTATAATAGCCCTGTGTGTTATAGTCTCTTTCTTCTTTATGTGTCTCTCGCACTTACCCTTTCTTTTGTAAATATTAGTTGGTGTCTGTGTGCATTGTTGTTGTTGCTGGCAAAGTTTAGTGCCATCGACGAGGCCATTGTCAGGATTACGATATGATATGATATGATATGCTGGCCCCTATACACATCTAAACACTTTCTTCTGGCCTGGGAAATGTTTTATTTTGATGTGTATTTTGGAGTGCGGCCCATAAGGAAATTGCTGCACAGTGGGCATGCTGCTCGTTACTTTTTTTTTTTTTGTTAAGCACCATGTGGCACAATCAACTAGATATATATATAGGTATATTCATATATTTCTGTAATTCTAAGTCTGAGTTGGAGGCTGGATCTGGATGTGGATGTGGAAATTGTGCCTGTGCCTGTCCACTTTGTGTATTTTTGTTTTCTGCATTGATTTTCTTAGCTGCAGGTGCGGAAGCAATTTGTTTAGAATTTTGCTGTAAACGCAACAAGCAAAGCAGCCACAACAAAAGCAACAAAAACAGCAAAAGAGACAACAACAACAAAAACAGCAACAACAAGTGCTACAAGAGTCGGGTCCCGGCCAACATGGACATTAAATAAAAGCGAAAAGAGTAAACATACAACACGAGAAAATATTGCATGCACAGCTCGCCAAAAGGCAAATGCTGCCCGCGCGCTTGAGTGTGAAAGCGAAAAGAGTAAACATACAACACGAGAAAATATTGCATGCACAGCTCGCCAAAAGGCAAATGCTGCCCGCGCGCTTGAGTGTGCGTGTGTGTGTCTGTGTGTGTGTGTGTGTGTGTGTGTGTGTGTGTGTATGCAAATTATTGTGCACACAAAGACGACGATACAACAACAACAAAGCAACTAGCCAAACACTTGAGTTGCTTTGTCAGCTAAAGGAATCGTTTTAAGCGCTTTGCAACTTCATTGGCCCAACTTTAAAGATTTGCCAAATCAATGCAAACTAACCGAAAATAGCTCAAGGAACTGCAGCAACGAGGGCGGTTCTATAGTTATGGCAAAAATAAAATATAACTGATAATAAATATGCTAGAAGTGATTTGAATAAGAACAACAAAAATGTTGTCAGATTTAAATGCCAAATTTTTCTAGAGGCCAAACCATAAATAAAAAGCCAAACCTCGTGAAAAACTGATGCTATTTGACGGAGTTATGGGGGTGGGAAATGTTGACCTATGTCTATATACGACATTTGAGGGTACCTGTTTTACAACAAGTTCGAAAAATAATATTGCCAGTAGATGCCAAATTGATCTAGAGGCCAAACCATGAACAAAGAGCCAAATCTCGTGAAAATCTGATGATATTTGACGGAGTTATGGGGGTGGGAAATTTTGACCTATGTATGTCTACATATGATATTTGAGAGTACCCTTTTTACATGAATTTCGACCAAAAATGTTGTTGCTAGATTTTGATGCCAAATTGATCTAGAGGCCAAACCATGAACAAAGAGCCAAATCTCGTGAAAATCTGATGATATTTGACGGAGTTATGGGGGTGGGAAATTTTGACCAATGTCTACATATGATGTTCGAGAGTACCCTTTTTACATGAATTTCGACCAAAAATGTTGTTGCTAGATTTTGATGCCAAATTGATCTACAGGCCAAACCATGAACAAAGAGCCAAATCTCGTGAAAATCTGATGATATTTGACGGAGTTATGGGGGTGGGAAATTTTGACCAATGTCTACATATGATATTTGAGAGTACCCTTTTTACATGAATTTCGACCAAAAATGTTGTTGCTAGATTTTGATGCCAAATTGATCTAGAGGCCAAACCATGAACAAAGAGCCAAATCTCGTGAAAATCTGATGATATTTGACGGAGTTATGGGGGTGGGAAATTTTGACCTATGTATATATAGGACATTTGAGGGTACCTTTTTTGCATCAAGTTCGGCCAAAAATAATATTGCCGACCAAAAATTTTGTTGCCAGATTTGAATGCCAAATTGATCTAATGCTTACAAACCTTTTTCTTGACAACCCACTCGAAAAATATATTGAACAGCCCGTGCGTGTATCATATCTAGAGACAGCATTATGTTTTATTGTTGGTTGAACCTTATGGCATATGTCCATAAACTTTTATTAATAACCCCATAAAAAATGCTCATAAAATGTGTACTCTTGTTCTGTCTGTGTTGTTGTTTGTTACGGTAATTTTAAGCACATATGTAAAGTGTTTTGCAGTTTTACTCCGCAGAGTGTGTGCGAGTGTCTGTGTGTGTGTGTGTGTGTCTGTGCTTAGACAATGGCACAGCTGGTGGGCTGCCGCCCCTTCGGAAACCCCCCGACATGACCACAAAACAATTTCTCTCAGCATTATAATTTTTCTTATTTTTTTTATGTTATGTTTGTACACTAAAGTTAGAGTAGAGAGAACTCTATTATATTGTTTTATGGTTTCCCGCCAGAGATGAAGGAAATCTCTTTGATTTCAGCTAAGGCAACTGAAAACCCGGGCCCAACAACAAATTCTGGCTGCCCAAATGTAAAATGATATGCTTAAAGAGTTTGTAGCAAGTTCTGAACGTGTTAAAGTCACAAGTTCCCTAACACGTCTTAAGGTTATTTGATATATTTATTAAACTAGCATAACGATTTTTATTAAGCTCAGCCAGACACACACACGCACACACACATGCGCTCACACACACATACACACATGTGAGCAGGAGCATTGTGACCGAAACGGGTTATCTAAACATTTGGTGCTCTTCATGTTTATAAAGCCTTTCGAATTTCTTATGCGATTTGTAGCTTAGTCAAGTTGAAAGTAACCAAAGTGCGGCAACAATTTTTTTGTTAGAGCAACTCAACTTTGTTGCATACACACACACACACACACACACACACACACACACACACACACACACACACACACACACACACACACACACACACATACACACATATATATAATTCAGTCTCGTTCCAGTTGCAGACGCCTGCTTGCCTGCCCTGTCTCTTGGCTTATTTCATTTCATTTTATTTACGTGAACTACTCTGGTGTCCAATAAAATATACGCAACGAAATCAGATGCAAAACTCCAGGCAACGAGACGAGTTGCTGGAAAAGCCAGCCCAAAGGCTGAGATACGCATATGCCAAGGCTGCGCGTCAGGCAGACAGAAAGAGAGAGAGAGAGAGCGAGGGAGAGAGCGAGAGAACAGTGAGTGAGAGCGAGCGAGCGAGCGTAGAGAGTGAGAGGGCGAAAGATTCTCATTCTCAGCATCTTGTCGCTGAGACACGCGGACGCACTTAATGAGCAGCGATCTTAAATCTTAAAGCAGACGCACAGACAGCCGACAGAGTTGGAGCTGGACCTGAGGCGCGGGACTTGGGTCTGGGCCTGGCCACAGAGCTGATATCTGTGCAGAGGCAGGGCTCACACATGTGTGAGTGTGTATGCGTGTGTGTGTGTGTGTGCGATGAAAGTATCTTGAACTGCGCTTTGCCTCATTCCGGGCTGAGCCTCATCTTTCTTCTGGCTTCGTCGCTGCACTTGAATTTCAAACTCACACAGAGACAGTGACTGAGAGAGAGAGAGAGATGGAGAGAGAGGGATGGAGAGGGAAGTAGAGACAGGGGGACACTTCAAATGCTTATGAAGATATTATGAAAAGCAAGCCGAGGCCGAGTTGGCTGGAGTTGGAGTTTGAGGCCGAGGCAGAAGCAGAGGCAGAGTCTGCGGCCTGCGTGACAACAGTGTGCCACTCGAGAGGCAGAGAGGCTGGCGACGACTCCAACAGCAACAGCAACGGCAACAGCATTTTGTGGCAAGTTACTGCGCTGCTGGCAAGTTGACAAATGCAGCGCAGAGACGAGACAGCCATGGGAGTAGTTACCGAGTGCGGCCCGTGGAGCACTAGGAACAGTCGGAGCTGGAGTTGGAGTTGGAGTCGCAGCTGCTGCTCATCTCTTGGCATCTTCACCTGCAAAAAAGATCAATGACAATTTATTGTCATGACTATGTAAGTTCTCACTGGCGCAGGCGTGCTCATATGCAACGTGCGGCGTGCAGCAACAACAACAACAAATATGTATCTGCAGCCTGGTGTATCTGTATCTGTATCTGTATCTGCATCTCAACATTTGTATCTGTGCAAAGCAAGTGCTTTAAGTAGTCGCTGTTTCTGATTTGATTTGTTCTGTGTGTTGGTTTTTTTTTTGTGATTTTTCTTTTTATTTGTTTCGCTTAAGGAAAATGGCCCATAAATTATACAAAAAATGATATCTACTTATAGATTAGAAATTAGTTTTCACTAAATGCTTAAACAAAATATCACAACAAATGTATCTCAAACTAAATACGAAGTGGAAAATTAAAAATAAAACAATTATTAATGCTAGATGCTTAATAGCGAAAGTTAATGCTTAATACTCGCTTTAGATATTGATCTGATGTCCTGCTAATACTCGTACTTGGCCCACCGATTTATATGGAAATTGTTAAGCTGTTCTCTCTATTGACTAATTGAGCCGGGCCAGTTGTGAACATTTGGCATTTGATTAAGTTAAATCACTTAGATTAAAATAAACATGTGTGTGTCTGTTTAACAAGGCGAACATTTAGTTTAACGATATTTACAGCTTATCAGTCGAGAAATATATATGATCTATATATATATGTTAATGCATATATATTTATATATAGATATATATATATATATATATATATATGTGTGTAGTTGGATTCGTTATCGTTCGTTTCATTAGCTGCTCTTGTTGCTGTCGCTGCACTTGTGTACCTGGGCCAGCACGCGATCGATGCGTTCCGCCAGAATCTTGATTGATTTATCCGGCAGAGAGGGCAGCACATCACGCACATTCGGGCTGGTTGTGCGCTCAAAAAGATCGCGCAGTTGGCGACCCGCGCCCTCCACACGCAAACGCTGCAGCGCCTCAATGGTGGGTCGTCGAAAGATGCACAGATTGTCCAATAGCAGACTGTGATAGGCCTCATACTTCTTGAGCAGACGATAGCCATGGAGTAGGCCCGATTCGTTGTCCAGAAACACGAGCAGCTGCGTATCGCTCTGCCGTGCCAGATTGTGAGCCGGCGCAGCCATAATGTCGGCATTCCATTGAAAGTTGTACAAGTTATTAACGACACGATCGAGGTTCGCGATCAGGTAATCGAAGACGATTAAATCGGACCATTGTGCCAATTCAATTAGTCGCTGCACCAGCGTCGACGACGACGACGACGCTGACGACGTTGACGCTGTCGAGGATGCGGCTGCGACTGCGACTGTGGCAGCAGAGGACAACTCTGTGGCGTTCTCCTCAAGCGTGCGTGATTGATGAGCGCCCGTTTGGCCGCTGGCAGGCTCCAGCCGCTTGAGTAATCCGCGCGACTGAATCGTACCATCATCTGCCGTCTCCCGCTGCATTTGCTGCGTTATATTCCAGACATCGTACTTGTTGAGATGCCGCTCCAGTGGCTGAAACGGTTGCGGTATGCCGGCTGGCTCCAAATCGGCCAGCCAACGCGTTAACACCACCGGCCTGTGCTCCTTCCACTGCGCCTGGGTGATGTCGCCCAATGCCGTTGACCAGCTCGGCGTCGTGGTGTCAATGACTGTCGCTGCGCTGGGCGCCAGATTGCTAATGTTCAGCAATTGGCCCAGATAGTAGCTAAATATCTCGCCCTGGATCTGATCCGTGTTCTGGCGATAGCGTGCACAGGCCCGCGTCCCATCGGCGAACACGACCAGGCGATTCTGCATGCGGCCGCAGCCGTGCTCCAGCCGCACCACCTGACCCTGGCCGGCCACATAGCGCTCCCAGCTGTGCTGATCCGCGGCAGCAAAGCCCTGCGGCAGCGCACGCTCCACCAGCTCGCCCCAGTAGATGTCCGACTCAATGATGCCCGCCGTTTGCAGCTCGCCAGCTTGTGGCTGCTGCTGCTGGGACTTGGCTTGGGATTTGCTGCGCTCCGGCTGCGGCTGGGTCTTGGTCAGGCGACGCTCGGGTCCCTTGCGATAGCGTCCGTTGGCGGTGCGCTGCACATGGAACTCCTTGATGCTGCCATCGTTGGTGTCCAGTTTCTTGACTATCATCGAGTCGGGCGCATTCTTGTCCTGCTCCAGATGGAAGGCATTGCGGAAGACCTGCTCCGCGCTCAGCTCCACACTGGCCAGCTGCTCGGCCTCCTCGCGTATGAAGGACACGCTGTACGGCAGCGGCGGTCGTTCGTAGTTGTTGCTGGGCGGCTCCTCGCTGAGTTTAAGCGTGGCAGACGCTGACTCATCGCTGCCGCTGCTCCCGCTGCTGCTGCTGTCATTGGCAAAGTAGTCGGGCAGTCCGAGCATGGGCACGATGACGCCCAGCGCCATGCCAAAGACAAAGGCGGCCAGTATGCTGAGCAGGCAGGCGCGACGCTGGAACGCCCGGCGACGGCGCAGCGTCAACAGCGTCATGTGTGTGGCTTCAATGGGGCTGCTGCTGCTGCTGCTGTGGCTGCTGCTGCAGTGACTCTTCGGCGTCGTTGCAGCGAGCGGCGTGGGCGTTATAACGCTGCAGGTGAGCTGAAGCGGCGCAGAGCCGTTCAGGCGATCGTTTAGACTATGGCCAAGTGTTGGTTGTTGTTGTAGTTGTGGTTGTTGTTGTTGTATTTGTTGTTGTTGTAGCTGCTGTTGTCCGGCTTCCAGGCGCTTGATGTCGTACATTTTGCTGCTGCAGTCACCGAACTGCTGCTCTCCCTCTACCTCTCTCTCTCTCTCGCTCTGTCTGTCTCCCTCTCTCTGTGGCCCGCTCAAACTGAGTGCAGTTTCAAGCTGCGCATAAAGAAGCCGGCTGATGGCTGGAGTTTGGGCTGCGGCATGCAGGGCGTTGCGCACGCTTTAACCAGATGAAACTCAGATGCAGCTCGTCGGCGTCGTCGTCGTCGTCGTCGTCCGACGAAAGTCGTGAAATTAATTTCTGGCTTTGTTTAATAAATATTGCGCCTGATCCCAGGGCTTTATCGGGTCTGTGGGTCTAGTCCTTTTGCTCCAGCTAGTTCTATTGGCGAGCCGTCTCTCCCTCTCTCTCTTTCTCTACCTGTCTCGCTCGCTCGCTCTGGCGCTGCTCTGACCGGTTGGTTTAGTACGTTTTGGCGATTTTTCTACGATTTCCACAATTGAAATTGAAACAGCAAAAAAAAAAACGTGCCCAACGCCGCTTTATTTATTTTTTGCTGCCTCAATTCTGTTGCTTTATTTTCTATTTTTTTTTTTGGTCGGTTTATCGATCTATTTTCTGCACGATCACTTGTTGTAATTTTTTATTATACATTTTGCAGTGCCGTCGCAGTTGTTATTGTTATTGTTGTTGTTGTTGTTGTCTGTATCTGTGGGCCGCTGCACATGTATGCACATAGCGAATATGCCTTTCGGGTAATATTTTAGCAATTTCCTCGCTCTCTGGTCCGCAGTTTTTGGAGTTTATCGCGGCCTCCACGCGATGCGGTTGTTGTTTTTGTTTTTAGTTTAAGTTTTTACCTTGACTAAAGGGCCTAAAAGCTGTTTCTGGTCAACTAGCTTAACAGTTTTTTCTTGTTGTTGTTTTGTTTGGTTGGTTGTTTTTTTTTTCAATTTTTCCAATTGGCGATTTTGGCGCGCCGATAAAAGCAATTTCGTGGCTTTGAGCTATTTACCACACACATAAGCAAAGGCGCGCACACACACACAAACACGAGCGCGCGCGTAACACACACACACACATACACACACGTATATGCGACTTGTCTACAGCGGTTTGGCATTCCCAGCCTGATGCACTGCGCTTGATAATTGCCACAGCAGCGCGACAAGTCCAAGTCCAAGTCCAAGTCCCAGTCACTGGGCACCAAGTCCTGCCAAGGCTCTGCGACTAGGCACGGTCAAGGGTTCGTTGTTGTTGTTGTTGTTGCGCTTGCTTTTGCTTTTAGGTTTATCAATTTAATTTCTTGTCTCGCACCTTTGCTTGATTTTATTTTGTTATTTTTTATTTTTATTTTATTTTTCAGGGCTTTTTGTTCGCTTGACCGTCCGCAACATTCACGTTGTGCGCCGCACACCGAACGATCTGAGGAATTTTTATGCTTTTTTATTTTTATTTCTCCTTTATTTTTATATTTGCCGTTCTCGCGTCTGCGCTGTTGTCTTTCATAAGTGCATATAGTCTATATACAGATATCTTTCATAAATATAACAATATATATTTATGTATAACTTGTCTTGATCTTTGATTTGTTCACAAAACTTGCCAACTTTTGTGCACTTTTGTTTGCAGTTTGACAACTGTTTTCAATTTGGTAGCTGACAGTGGGAAAACGTGCGCGCAGGCGTACCGCTTCGTTCGAGTTTCGATGGCAGACTGTCGGCTGGAGAGCTGTCGCCAGGCTTAGTTAAAGACCGGACCGCAGCACAGCTCAGCACAGCTCAGACCCGGCCCGGGTCGGGCCGGCTCAATCGTAGCCACGCTCAAACTCTCTGGCACTCGGTAGCGCTCTCTTACTCAGAGGCATGCGAGTTTTTTTTTATTGTTTTTCATGTTGAGTGAAACTCGTGCGCTCTTTGACAGAACTCAGATACATTTTTATTTGCTCACTGGATAAATTCACTTAGTTAACAAGCACAATCATGTCGCCGAGCTGTTGGCTGCTGCTCCAGTGCAATCATTATTGATATAACAAAGTGAGCCTTCGGCCCGCACCTCAAAGAGCATCGCATCGTTTTCCATAAACTTGCCAATAAACGAGAAATTGTACTCTGGCAAATAGTTGGGCAAGTAATTCGTATCGAACTTCATGTGCCGCGCTCTGTAGGTGGTATTCTATACGGGTCTTATGTAAAGCACCTGCTCAAGGATGCGCCCCAACGGCTGACTCACCCGCTTGAAGGGACACTTTTTGGGAAAGTTATTGTCCGCCTGTTGTATTCCCTTGTTAAGGAAGCTCAACAGAGAGAGACGACTGCTGGCACCGAAGTCTTTGCAGAGTTCCAGTCGTATGCCAGGAAAACGCATTCTTTTCTTGCCGCCCAATATTTGCAGCTCCGCAATACCCACCACATTGACGATATCATTGTCGTTAGTAGTTGTTTGAAGTGTTAACGTGCTGTTGTCCTCTAAAATGCACTCCATCCAGGCTAATTTGTTGCTCCTCAAGGGACATTGCACACTTGTAAATATGATTTTCTTAACAAAATATGAAGGAATTGAAAAGAGAAACGCGCAACACAAATACCTTCTGGGCGAGGCTGAATCCAAACGGCCAGTAGAAAATAATCCAAAAATAGTTCCCTGCTAGTTTCATTTGTCGACCGGTTGACAATTCTTATCAGAAACAAGCCACAACAGCTGCTGCTCTTGTCATTTATAGACAGCAGACACGAAATTGCGAACTATTGAGCAATTAAATCAATAATATCACAGTTCATCAAGATAGGCCCAATTGTTTTTTAATAGCATCCGGTTCAAGTTAGCTACTGAACTCATGCAGAAAGTTTATTGTGCGTTTAAAAGCACAAATTAATTCAAAGCTGCGCTGTTAGCTGCTCTTCCAGTGCAATCTTTCTCGGTATGACAAAGCGAGCCATCGACTCGTAAATCAAAGAGATTCGCATTGTTGCCATAGAATTTGCCAATGAACGTGAAATTGTACTCGGGCAAATAGACGGGCAAGGAATTGGCATCGAACTTCATGTGTCGCAATATGTAGGTGACGTTCTGCAAACGAAAAGTTGGGTAACATCTGCCTTTGGGAGACGCCCCTGTTCGTGGCCACGACTCACCCTCTTGAAGGGACATCTGCGGGGCATGTTGTTGTCCGTCTGCTGTATGCCCTGAAAAATGAAGCTCAGCATGGAGGGTCGTATGGCGGCGTCCAACATCTTGCATATGTCCAGGCGTACACCATTTATTCTGGTCACCTTGCGCTGACCCTCTACCGAGAGATTCAGCTCCATTATGCCCACTAAATTTCCGACATCTTTGCTGCCCACAGTTGTTTGGAAAGTAAATGCGTTATTTTCCTCCAGAAAGCATCCAACATTGAGGACCTTATTGCTTTTTATAGCGCAGTGAACTTTGGTAATCACAATGCGCTTAAATATGATGAGGAGTTCAATGTAAGTTGAATGCATTTTATATGGTCTAGCTTGTAATACCTTCTGAGCATGGCTTAGGATAAGCATGCAAGCGAACAATGTGCCAAAAATATGTCGTATTTTTTGCATTTCACGTAGCACTCAACTGTTTTGCGCATAACAGAAAACTGACTTAGATGTAAGTGCAATAAATCGTCCATAGTCTGAAATGTTTATTTGGGCGCTTAAAAATAATTTCACGCACAGTCAGTAATTGACATATGTTTAAAAGCTCAAGCAATCCATGAATGGTATTTATTTCATTTTCTAATATTTCTAGATAAATCCAATTTTGATCATATCACCGTGGTGTTAGCTACCCTTTTGGCACCCGCGCAATCGTTTGTGGCATAACAAATGGAACCTTCGAGTCGCACCTCAAACGTGTTGACATGATTCGCATGAAATTTGCCAACGTATGTGAAATTATATTCCGGCAAATAGACGGGCAAGTAATTTCCATCGAACCTCATGTGCCGCAATACATAGGTCGTGTTCTGCAATCGTTTGGTGGAGCGAAAAGCATCTGTTAAAGGACACGTCTCCTTTTTGTTTTTTTTTTGTCGCATCAGACTCACCCGCTTTAAGGGACACTCTTTGGGCAAATTATTGTCGGTTCGTTGAATACCCATTTGCAGCATGGCCATCAGGGAGGGGCGATTGCTGGCATTCAGTTTGCAAATATCGAGGCGAACTCCTTTGAAACGCATAGCACTTTTTTTGCCATATATATATAAATTCAAATCCGATATGCCCACCAGATTCTGCAGCTCAATGTCGTTGGTCGTAACTTGAATTGTGAAAGCGCTGCCCTGCTCAATAAAGCACTCGATCTTGTCTATTCGGTTGCTCTTGAGTGGACATTGTAGCTTTTTAAAGATGATTTTCTTAACGAAACACAGCCCGCATTAAACAACATAGTTATGTGGCATGTATTTGGCTTACCTTCTGGGCAAGGCTAAGGCCTAGCAGCCAGACAAAAAATATGAAATTCAGGCAACGTTTTTGTTGCATTTGACGAACAATTGAACCGCGAGTATTAACGATAAAAATGAGCAATTCACCTAACTTCGATTGTCAATATTCAAATGACAAAATTCGTAGCGTACTTAAATATATAATTTCACAGCAAATCAAGATAAATGAGAAAATTGTTGTCAATTGATTTTTAAGCACATTTCTGTGAATAACAATCAAGAACCCATTAAATGTTCACGTATTTTGTGATACTCTATAAGCGAAAAATGTATTCGTTTTGCAAATTATTTTGAGGTTTTTTTTATAAAAATACATAATTTATATATTTGATTTGGCAGCGCCCGTGCAATCGTTATCGATAAAACAAAAAGATCCAAGCATTTTCAACTCAGCGCTTAACACATTGTCCGCAAATAAATTTGCAATGAAAGTGAAGTTATATTCCGGTAAATAAGAGGGCAAATAGTTCGCATCGATCTGCATGTGCCCGAACAAATAGGTTGTGTTCTGTAATTGATTGAATGGATCATTAGCTGTCACACAATCCAAAGGACACACCCCCTGCTCACCCTTCTAAATGGACATTTTTGGGTGTTCTTTATGCTCTGGTAGATCATGGCCTGCAGACTGGGCCGCGTGCCTGGTGCGAAAGTTTTGCAATATTCTGTGCGCAGTCCATTTAAACGCATCACATTCTTAATGCCAAATATATAAAGATTTACTTCCGATACAATCCACAAATTCGCAATGTCTTTGTTGTTTGTCGTTAGGTGAACCGTAAGCGAGCTATTGCTCTCTTGGACACAGTCTGCCTTGCTGAATTGGGTACTCTTTAGACTGCATTGCAAATTTCTAAAGAGTATTTGCTTAACAAAATAATAAAAGAAATAAAGTTCTGTTTACTTTTGGATAAACGGACACGTACCTTCTGCGCACAGCTTATGCTTGTAATGCAAGCGAATATAATCCATAAATGGAACCATTTTTGTGTCATTTTATGCGTTAAGCAAACTGAACTCAAAGCACGAGAAATCAAATGTGAAACCTGCCACCTATCTGAACAGATTAGAGGTAGAATGGAAAAATATATGGACAGATACATTTAAAGCCGAACGAATATATTTGAGCTGCATTCAAATGAACCAATCACAGGACAATTAAATGCTGAAATTGGCCATGAACAAATATTTATTTAAGTTTTTGCGGATTTTATTCACGGATAAACCAGGTAAATGGAGTAATAGGCTGTCTATCATTCAACTAGGCCGACGGCAAAACGACAATAAGAAAATTAAATAATTGTAATAATTGTTGGTTAAATTGTTTTGGTTCAATTTTGAAGCTTTATATATTTCCATATTTTTCCAATTTTATAAAAACTTCCTTTGAAACATTTTCCATTATAAAATAAATTTTATAAGATGTGCTATAGAAAATCTTAAGAGCAGCTGTTAAGAGCAGGCAGCAAACAGAAACTCACTCGCGCTTTTTCACTCAATTGCTTGGAGAGAATTTCAAAAAAAGAAAGAGAGCAAGAGAGAGAGAGAGAGAGAGGGAGAACACTCAAGTGAGCCATGCAGACCGTGGACATTTTAATGCCCATTTGTAGCTCTTGAAACGTTCGTGTTGTTGATTTTTATGCTCAGCGCGGCACATTTGCTGCGCCACATTAAGAAACTAGTATTTGTTGGTATTGGTGGTTGTGGCTACTTTTGCTCTTGCCGGAGCGGGAGCGAGCTGCAATGGCAGCTCACACACACACACAAACACACATATGCACACACAAAGTATAAAAAGTTGGAAAAAATATGATCAAGGAATGTAGACATAACTTGACAGCATGTTTAGAGAATTTTTACTCGAGGACAGAGCGCGAATGTGCGTTGGAAACGGAATGAGTCGCTCGAGTAGCCGCCGCTGCTCAGACACGGAGCAGGCAGAGCTGGCTGGCTAACAGGCAGGCAACGAAGACGACAACAGCGGAGACGATAGCAACAACAACAACAACAATAACAGCAGCAACAACAAAACATTAAAGTTGGCGCATTCTTTGGACCAGGCTACTGCTGTGGCCGTGTGAGTACGAGAGCTTTGGTGTGCGTGTGTGTGTGTGTGTGAGACTCGGAGTGGGGACTTTTGCGAGTTAGACTCACGATTTGTCTAATTGAATTTGCACAAACAATTAAAAGTTGCTCAGTATCCAATGACAAGCATAAACATAATTTATGAGCAGCGC